AAAAAAAAAAAAAAAAAAAAAAAAAAAGAAAAAAAAAGAATAAGAAATATATCAGGATGTAATAAACTAAATTTATGATACAGTCTTGAGACCTGGTGTCGATAACACGCAGTTTTAAATAGATTTCACTCGAGGTTGGCATAGTTAACGCATCTATGTTTTATTTGCATTTTTCTTGCAAATTTCTCGTGAGATATGATATTAAATTATTATTAACACTGCGATACCCGAGCTCTCATGATGAAAATTATCCTTTGGATAATTGAATTTATCACGCATTAAAGGATGGAAACATATATGCTATACGCATTTGTTTATGTATATAATATATGTGTATAAACAAATTCTTTATCAACTTATTACTTACAATTTACTACTATACTTCTGTAAATATCATCTTTTGTGTACAGTAGTACAGAATTAAAAATCGTATCTTTTAAAATTAAAGCTACGATATATTTCTTTTATTATATCTATTTAATATAATAATAATAATATATGTATATCTTTCTGTATGTGTGTCGTTTTGACAATTCGTATAATGACTATTTACAAATTTTATTTCTCTTATCATCGGCAACATCAATATTAACTGTAAAACTCTCATAATAAATTCTTCTTATAAATAGATAAATCTTAAATATCATTCAATCGATAAAAACTCTTGAAAAATCATCTAAAGACGATCAATACCTAACTATGACGGTGTGCAGTTGACTATAACAGACAAAGTGATATGAAAAATCAAGTTTGTGAAATTCGTTTACTGATAGAATATATGTAAAATTATCGATGAAAAGCACGAATGAACTATAGTATATGAATATGAGATAGCTTCGATGATATAACGCTAAAAATATGCGAGAAGAAGAGGAAAATATAGAAGAGCACGTATGATTTCGATAAACTCTTAAAAGTAGTATAGACTTACACGAAAATTCCTAATCCCATTGCTAGTGAAAAATATCGACCGATTGTTTAAAATATGCTAGTTGAACGGATTCTCATTAATCTCTAGAAAATATTCACGCAGAAAAATTAATTAAAAACTACAGAATTCTATTCTCTTTTGTGTATGTTTCTTATCGGAGTGTTTTATTCAACAGTTAACCCTTTATGATTTTTCATTTAGAAGAGATCGAATTAAAAGAGAATGCATGGTTCAAAATAATTTAGAATCTTCGAAAATTTTCATTAACCATGTATTAATAAAAAGAAGTATATCGATTTATTTTGAAACTCCATTCAATTCATCTCTAGATCCTTTGATTATTCTGAACAACTTCTATTTAAAATTTTTTTTTTTAAATAGATTATTTCATAATTTATAATTTTCTTCTCCAAGAATATTTTCAAGAAATGTCACGTATCAGCAATATAAACAGATCCAATCGCAAAGGGTTACAAATGATAGAAAAATATAATATCGTGACAATTGGTTCTCTCCCATTTATTTATTGTTCCTGAGGAACTTTTAGAAGGACAGTTCTCATGCCTTCCGAATCAGAAATATTAATCTTCAGCTCGTTGGTCAATGCTTCGAGCTTATCCACCACCTTTTTGACATTCTTTTGCCCGCCTGGATTCGGTGGTGGCCAAACATCGTCTAACGGTGGCTCGATGTATTTCCTGTTCGATTTCATCGTGACTTCCTGTCTTCCGCAAAGCGTTCCTCCGATATGATCGGAAGACAAGATGCATTTCGGTGGAGAATCTGTGTCCATGCGAGGACGTTTGTATAGGGGTGGCTGAATTGTAGGGCTGTAATCGTGATCCAAAAGGCCCTCCACTTCCTGCAGCAATTCCTCGCTATATTGCTGCAATTCCTCGTCCATCAGCTGTTTCGTGTAGAGTAACGTTCGAGAACGACCTAGAAAGCATAATGTTAATAATTTGAACAATTGTGAAACAGATTCAGGCAAGATTTCCAAGATTTCTAAGATTTTTCGAATAAAATTTTTTTTATACTCATGCTTTGGAACTGTAGTTATCGTATTTATCGCATTTCGTATTATCGTGCATGCAAAGTAATTATCTCGAACGGCAGCTTACGACGGCAGAACGAAAATACATTGCATACGTTGTTTGATTTAAGCAGTTTGATTTAATTGATTTCGTAATGGACACTAAAAACTGGTTACGAGGCATTCCACGTACAAGTGAACGATCCTAAGGTATTAGTCTTTGAATTTTAACGAAGGTCAATGACTTCGTAGGGTTCTCATTACTTTCTAAAAGAAACGAGAATCATCTTGACGACAAGTTATGAATGAAAGTTACATTGAGAAGTTGGTGGAGACGTGATAACGTTACAATCTAAGGCAAAAAAGGAGAGAAATAAAGCGAATGGGCATTTTGAAGAAAGTAATTAAAATAAGATTGCAGTTCGATGAGAAGGATCGTTCTGTTCTGACATCGAGAAAGGATCAGAGTTTTCTTGTCCTCGTTTAGAAAGTAGTTGAACAACTTCTGTTCGCTCTTCTACCCTACTCCGGTTTCACCATACCGATATTCATATCGATTCCATACCTATTGATTTCGAAACATCATGTTTGTTCTTTTATCAAAATTTATCATAAATTTCTGATAAAAACTTTGTGTGAAGTTGTAATCATTTTTCCATATTCTCTTGCATGATAATTTATCATATTTTACAATCAATTAGTGAATAATTAGTGAATAATTAATAGGTTAACAAGACTTTTTAGGTAACTCATTAATAGGTAATAAGACTTAGATTTTGTTATTAATCTTATTAATAATATTATTGGATTAAAATAATCAAATTATATTTATTAAAAAATATTTTGATAAATTTGTTGCGTCGTAGATTCGAGAATATGAAGCAAATTCGTTTCGTAATCTAAAATACCGTGTCTTGTTACTTTTTTTCTGACATTCTGTTATTGGAATTTGCTGTTTTAGCATTCGATGAAGCAAATTCAATTTCCGAGAAATTATCAAAATCGAGTAAATAGAATAAATTATGTTTCTATGAAGTTCTAAGTGTTTTATATTCTATTCTATAAATATGAATCATAATTATGAACGAACGATTACGTAAAATATTTACCTAACATCGTCCAATTATCTGCTGTTATCATATTTGATGATAATGAATGTTTGTTAAAGTTTTCTGTTTCGTTTTTCACCTACACGTTCAAATTACTAATATTTAATCAAAGGAAATATAAATATTTATGATAAGAGATATCATTTGAAGTTTAGCGTATCAATTTTTACTCCTTGATGTCATTGCAGACATTCTGATGAAATATTAAAAATATTATAGATATTAAAAAATGTCCTTGACGATCACAGACAAATTTTATTAGTGAGATAATTTTATTTTCAAACGAGTTTTGTTTGAAATGACACATGAGAAAAAAAAATATATATATATAAAAGAACACTTGATTGTTTCGTTTTTTAAACCAGTAAAAAACTCGACAGTACGAGGCCAAGATGCAACAATCCATGGGATGTGAAAGCAACGCGAGGAAAAAATAAAGTTTTAAGGGCTATGCCTTTCACGATTCTATAGAGTTCAATGTACTCTGAAGCATAGTATCAAACTCATTCAACTTGTATTGTGCAACCGTTAATATAACGGTTCGACAAAATGTGACTATGATTTCGTTATAATTGTCGAATAATATACATAAAATTAAGTCGAAATCAAGATCTGAATAGTTTACTACAAGTTACTTACAAGATCTGGAAAGTCTTTGATAGATTATTATATAAAAAATACTTGATAAAATCAAGATCTACAAAGTTGTTAGTATTTTTTAAAAAGAAATAAAAGATATCCATTGATATATGACATTTCATATTTAATTAAAATGATTCCAAAAGATAATAAGATAGCGATATCTGCTTAATTCTTTGAAATAATTATTTCAAATTATGCGCACATTTTATAACTGGAATTTTAACTAGAATCTTAACAACTTAAAAAAAATTACACACGATCTGCTCGTAAACGAGAGATGAAATGAGTTACTCGGACTTACCCGCCAAAGGTGGCATTTTCTCCGGCTGTTCCTGCTCTTGCGTGAGTTCATTGTTTGAATTGGAGTGTGGCCGAAGATTCGGCACAGCAACCAAGGCCAACGAGAGCAGCAAAACCATTAGACAAGTGGCAGGCTGGGCGCTCTTGTTGCCTTTTTGCAACAGTGCTTGCAACCTCTTCAGTTGGCCGGCCAGGCTCTGATTCTGCGACTGAAGCGCCTTGATACGTTTCAACAGTGTCATATTCTCCTCGGTACACTGCTTCACCCGATCTTCCAATCCGTCCACGTACTCCTTTTTCCTCTTCCGCGAGTCTTGAGCGGAAATTTTATTGCGAATCTTGCGCCTGATCCTCTTCAATTCCCTTTCCTCGTGCTTCGTCAACGGATAATGAGTAGGCAGGGTGATGCCTTCTTTTTGGAGCAGACGTTTCTCCTCTGCGTTCAGTTTTAGCCTCGGATACGGGGAATCCGATTCTGAGACCTCGTCGCTCGAATTGCAACCCTTCTCGCTACTGGAATCTTCTTTGAATTCTTGTTTGATGTTCATCTGTAGAGGAAAGAAAAAGAAAGAAACGCGTGAAATTTTATGAAACCGTAACGACGATTAAGTTTTTGTTTTAATTTTTTTTTTTTGAAGAAAACATTGAAGAAGGATTTTGTATATATGTATATATGGTTTACATAGCCTGAATTACCTGAACTGGTTTGTTAATGATGTTGGCCTGGTTGATCTTGAACCCTTTGAGATTTCTAGCCTGGGAAGCGTTGATGATCTTGATGGTTCTCACTTCTTTCATGTCTTTCAAACTCACTGGCAGTAGGATCGATCTTGGATTACCGGAACCCATCGGTGTAACGCGTATCAATTGTCTGATATTCCGTTTCCCATTGCAAGTGATATTGCGCACATTTATCGTGTTATTTTCCGGAGATGCAACGTGAATCTGAGGTTTCGGTGTTTTTTCTAAAAAAGAAGAAAAAATTTATTTCTCTCGCTGTTTTTCATAGATGGAACTTTTTAATCTTGGAAATTTTTAATCTAGAAATCTCGATTTGCTTGTGATATAATGTTATTCGTATTGTTTTTAAATCTATTATTTGGTTAACATCTTGTTAAATAGATGTTATCGGTTCGTTTAAGTTCGATAAATTCGTCTAAACATTAACATTTGACCAAAGACCGTGTTCTTGGCTGTAAGCCTGTAAGCTGTAAATTTATCGATCCTTTAGAAAAGGAAAAATCCAGCCAATTTCTTACCTAAATCGATAACCGGTTGTTCCGTTATAATTGTCGTATTAGCATCTACCACGGTGTTAGTCGGGTTCACCACAGCCACGAGGGTGTGTTCCACGTCCATTTCTTCGGCTACATCCATGACGGGTGAACCAATATTAGAACTAACCACCGATCTGACAGGACTATCTACACTGGCCATCGATTGATTAGGACTGCCCAACGAATCAAAATCCATGATATTCTGAGGACTGCTCATCTCAGAATTACTCATCTCCACTTGATCCTCCTCGATCGGCAGAAGCGGGCTTAATTGTTGTTCGCAAGAGAGACTCAGCGCACTCGACAGCCCGCTGTCCGACGAGGAAGAAGGGATCGCATCTAAATCATTATCGATCAAGTTGAATTGATTATCCTCCAGCTTGAAAATAGAGTCCAGAAAATCGTCTGGATTGGTTGGCCATTCTTCCGCCTTGAAAAGCAAACGGAGAACAGAATGGAAATTATTTTAAGATATTTACTGTATAGCGCGAGCCATGATATAGCTAGATTTTAAATTAATCCTCCGAAGTTTGAAAGTTTGAAAGTTTTCTATAGAAGATATAGAATTTACTATGTGACTAATAATGGCAACACAAATATCTCGGATACAATGTAAAATATTAGTTAAGTGTATGTTAGTTAGTTAAGTGTATACATCTAAATCTTTTATCAAAAAAATAGCATGAATTATCGTGATATCTATGACTAATGACTTTATATACATTCATATTTTTAACTTCTAATTGCAAGGCCAATCTCTTATTTGTTTTTCAACGTCAGAAGTTTACTCGATGCTATGCGAAAAGAATCACGAGTGCATGCAGTTTGTTTTGAATGGTACTTTTACTTGGCTGCAACCGTTCTCTTTAGTTTCTATTCCATATATAGCGTTCCATTTAGATCGAATCTATATTGATCTGATGAATATGCACCGCGATAAAACGATCTCAGTTTTTAGGCACGACATTGACGAGTTATTCAATTTCTTTACGATCTACTATCAATGACATTATTCATTTTATATTTCTAATAAGAAGATTGTGTGCATTGCACACGATAAAATGCCATCGTTACGAAATGCCAACGATGTCGCATTTGCAATGGATCTAAAGATTTAGAATGGAAGTAACAAGCTTTGCTAATGCGTGCTCCACTTAGATATCTGGATGAAAGTTAGCTTAATCGGCTTAGCGAAGCTTGAAAAATGGTCGAAGCGCTTGTCGCTCGGCTCGCGATGAATCGAGCATTTGCCCAATGTCGAGTAACCTAGTTTCCAAGCACAAGAGGAATGGTAAATATAGTCAAGCGTGGAAACACTGGTTCGCTCGAATTTTACGATTTCACTGGTATACCTCTTAAATCACGAATAAAGAGAAAATTGAAAGCAATTAAAAAAGCGAATCATTCTAAATAATTGTTTGATACATTCAAATGCTAATTAAATTTATATATAAATTATATTTACGTATATATACATATATTATCAAATAATCGTTTCAGGTTTATGATTTTTACACAGAATTTTCATTTTTACGTAAGTTGTATGTATTTATGAATATTACGATAGTTTTTATTTTTCAGAATTTTATGATTTTTTTTTTTTTTTTTTGATGATTTTTTTTGATATTTAAACGGGTTTATATCGATCAATATTCAAGAATTATACATTTAACGTTTTTTGTTGAATTATTCCATATTCTTTGAATTAAAAATAAATTGTGATCTCATGCAAGATGTTTCTGTGTTTATCCTAAATTTAGAATTCTCTGTGAGACTTTTTCTTGTTAAAATTGACAGATGTTGGCCTTATGTTTGAGATAAAAAAAAAAATAAAAATTAAATAAAGCATTAAAAAATAATCTTCCGCGTTTACAAAAACGAATAAAATAAAAATCAAAAATGTTTAAAAATTCTCCATTTTTATGGAAATTTTTTATTAAACTTTTGTTTAATCTTTAAATTTACTTTAAATTTTAAGAAATAATTACACAGATGCAAGAATTTATATGCACACTTGTGTATACAAATCGATTAAGTTTCATTGTTTCGAAAAAAAAGTGGTCAGAATTTTTTAGATTATTCATATGGAGTCCCGTAACGTAACGGTACTTTTCGTTCGAAGGTCGTTCGCCATGACGAGTGCTTGCATTCTCGTTTCGATTCTGCATAAAGACATTTATCTCCATTATAAAAACATTATATATCAATTAGAATAAGAATTATTTACATAGGATTACGTAGAATTGAAAAAAGAATTATGTTAATTATTATTTAATTTTAGTTAATTAATTTAATCGATTCTTTTTAGATTTAAAGATTGTTTGTAAACAAATATCCTTTTTACTTTTAATGAGATATGAAATATATAATTAAGTGTTTATCGAAGACATTCCAATATGGCGGCTACCACACAGAGCACGTGCATTAGACCATTCCATATGTTACAAAAACATATGGTTATATAATAACAATATCCGCATACAGTTTTCCCAGTTAATATAAAGAAACAGAGATCGAATAATTTTTATAACATCTTGAAAAAGATTAAAAAAAGAAACAATAATACTTTTTTTTTCTTTTCGATTTCTTTATATTTTATAAATCATTCAATCATTGATAAGTTATATTTTTCATTATTGTATTTCATTATTGTATATTGTATGTATTAATTATTTTAATGATAAATTATTTATTAAAATACGATAATTTTCAAATAAACGACAAATATTTATGCACATCGACACGTGGGTACACCATATGTTAACAAGAATTAATGATGAATAACAAGAATTTGTAGTTAATCATAATCGTAATTTAACTGTAACCGTAAACATTCGATATCACGTCAATTGTCCTTTTATGTTTCGGCTATGATTAACTATAATTCTATAATATTCTCCGTATGGATTACTTCGTGGCCTGTTGAGCGTAATTGAATATAATGGTTAGTAATGAAAGCAAGAGATGGTCGGTCCATCCTCTCGTTAGTCGAATGAAGAATTAAAGACGCGATGAAAGTAGCACAGATCGTGATGAAGTATAATAGCATCGCTTTTTGCGCTTCAAGCGTATTAGAATTTTTCATCTAGAGTTCTCTAGGTTTGCTTAGAGTTTACTAAGTTTAAATTAGTGAATAATAATAGAGAAGTAAATGCATAGCTTAAAATGATCTATTTGTTTATATGACGAAATATGAAACTTTTTCACATGCCGGTCTTCGCATATTTTCAATATTCATCGATAACATTGCGTAAAACATCAAGTCGATCTTTGAAGGTTTCACTAGCCTTAGGAATTATTCATTGTATTAACATTCTTGATAACAAGCTGCAATAGAATTCGTTTTTAACTTGAAAAATATTTCGCCTATCTTTATCAGGAAATCAGATTTCGCTAAAATTTATATTCCTCTTACATAGGTATTTTTCCATATGTATATCGAATTTTCAATTACATAAAAGAGACCTATTTTCGCGTGTGATATTCCGGGAACTTGGGAAGCGCGATATTAATGAGCCAGCCACTTTATCCAATTCCTCGATTGTCTTTCCCGATTAATCACGATTATTTTTGTATAACCTTTCAACTAAGAAACTATTCAAACTATAGTTCATCGAAACCTGCTTCCAGTTATTCCTATAGTTCCTTTCATATTCGTATGTAAAAAGAAACTAGTTTTCTTGGAGTCGCGAAAGAACTGGTTCGAAAGTAAGTAATTATTGGAAAGAAAAGAAAAGCTAAATAATAAAAATGTGATAAAAGCGTGCATCAGAAACTCACCGTGATGGCGTCATCGTTGTAGCTCTGATCTATGAAAGGCTCGTCCTTAATGTCGCCTTTTAGGAAAGCGTCTTCTCTTGGGAAGAGGAAATCCATCAGATTGATATCTGTAGACGACATCCCTCGTTGGTTATCAATCGTACACTTTACGTGTATATGTTTATTACATAGAATGCACTGCAATCACTACGTTTCCATTAAAAAAAAACACTTTAGGCACTGCACCAACGTTACACTCAGACACGATAAAGCGCATCAGGCAACTAACGGAGGAAAGGAACCCGTCACGGACAGTCGGACAGACATTCGGCCTCTTCGCCCCACCCTGAGGCTCTTATTGCTTACCAAGTGAGCGAGAGAGCATCTTTCGAAATTGGTTGCTATTTTTTACCTTCAACATTTACATCCAATGTCCATTCAAATCACTCACAATGCTCCTTTAAGCATATCAAGAAATTTTTACTATTATATGCCAGCTTCAGTACACTAGTACTGCAACAAACTGTTTATTTTATTCGAAGATAGTGCAAATGTTCGATTTATAGCACGATATTGTCAATTGAACTGCCAGCGTGGCAATAACTACGTCACGAAAGCTTATGACTTTCCAACAAAATGATTGGTCGAGGGAACTTCTGGCAAGTGATAGGTCGATAAATCGGATAGGCGGCAATAGAGTTGAATCTTGCTTATTTTGAATTTTACTTTGTAAATTACGCTTGGGGAAAATTTAAATTTTATTCGAAAATCGAATGAAAGTTTGATTTCGAGAATTTATATTCGAAAAAAGAATCGATGGATATGTTTAAGACGTGGATAAGATTGAATATGAAGATTAAATAAGATGAAAAATTGAATAAGAATTCAAAATCTTAAAGGTATTGTTAAAAACAAAGTTATACATTGTGCCTGATGTTGCATCAGACTGATTAATTTAAACTGTATGAAAATGCACGACGCATTTCATATAGAATGTTGAGTCATGGATTAAAATTGGAAGAATATTATTGAAAAATAATTTTTTTAATTACAATAAAAGAAATTATAAATGTTTATCTTTTTTTATATAAAAAATTTTTGCATAAAAAGAATATATAAAATATCAAAAATTTATTTCATAATCTTTAAAATTTATACTTTTTTATATTATATATATAATAAAATTATTGAAGTCGTTTATTTCAGAAAAATTTCATTTTATTTTTATTATTTATACAATTTTATTTTATATGTATCATTATGTAAAAGTTTCAGTCTTGGAAGGTATATGTAATAATACTTTAAGCGAAAAATTCATTTTTTTTATAATTTAAAAAATTTCTTGCATATGCTTTAGTTCTTTAGATTCAGATTATATACATTT